GCTAAGCTTTGATTTCTGTTTTTATTTATGGATTTTACTTTTTTTTTTTTTTTTTAAGTCCTGTAGTTACGTCATCCTTGTTTTGGGGAGGGAGGAGTTGCCAGATGGAGTGAACAGCTCTGTGGCTGCCATCCAGACACGTAAGGATATTGTCCAGTTTAATCTGCACACCAGGAGATTTACTGTAAATCCCTTTCCACATGCAATCCTAACAATGCAGCTATCGCTTTTTGATAGACATTACTTTTTTTTTTTCCTGAGAAACACAATGTCCATTTACAAGTGCAAGGAAAGCCAGTGTTTAGTCCAAGGATTACAGCCCAGAAGTCCTGCTTTGCTCAGGCTGCTCCTTGGGCTTTAATCTGAAAATCCGTACACTACTTGCTAACTTCCTTACCTTTCAATCCCAAAATGCAAAGCATCTGAGATCACAGTTGAGTTCTGGAAGAGACCCAAAGAGTTAAACCTCCAGGGAAGTCAGGCAGAGCTGATAATTGGGTTCAGAGCAACACATCTTAAATCGTTATTATTTAGCCAACGCTTATCCCCGCATGGCAAAAGAACACGGGGCACCCAAGTGGAGAAATAGGAGTTGTCTGGGATTAAAGCATCCCTGGCATCTGTTCCCAGAGAACACCAAATTCTGCCTTCCCTCTTCTTCCTTGACACACAGCCAGCGTTTGTCAGTTGGATTGGAATCACCAGGCAGCTATAGGATAGGTGTAATTACTGCACTGCTAATTAGGATTTACCTGGTTTGCGCTGTGAACAGAGGGGAGTCACAACCCCAGTGGGTTTTCTGCCAGCACAACTCCAGTCATTCCTAGGGAAGGGCTCGATAAGAGCCAAGTGGAAACGGGCTCAGATTTGGACTGAACATTGGTGCAATATTCTAGGGGTGTGTGGCTCATAGTTCATAACCAAAATTAAAGGGAACATTTCTGCCTGTCTCATAACACTTGTGCCAGTAACTGGTAAAACCTTCCCTGGGCCTGTGATTCTGGAAACCATCCGAGCTCCGCTGATCTTCACGGAAGCAAATCTGTGTGCACATGAATCATTTGACCCTGAATCTTAAATTATCTTCTGCGCTGATATTTTCTCAGAATTAAATATGTTGCTTTGAGTCCCAAGAATCATCTTCATTGTTAATGGGAAGAAGATGAACCAGAATATTTTACATATATGTATATATATATGTATAAAACATGTTATATGCTACATATATATATATATATAAGGTCTCTTTCCATCTCTAAACTTTCATTTTGGTCTTTCATATTTTCTATCTACAAACACAGGCTCCTGGCAAGTTCCTTGACTCTTTCTTAGGGCAAGAGGAAATCTGTCCAATTGTTTGACAAACAAAGCATCCTGACAACACTTTATAATTAATATGGAAGAAATTCTCCACCTAGAATCTCTACTGTGACCACACTCAGTAGAATGGGAATTATTTTTTTTTTTTAAATAATCAAAATGCTGGGTTATTCCTGTAATTTTTCCTTATGATTTTTGCCGTCCCAAAATTTAACCTGGTTACCCTGACTATGGCATTTAAATGTCCTTATTTGTCATTCCCCTTACAGACTGTTTGCTGCTTTGTCGTTTTCAATTCTATGTTTAATAGACAGAAAAGGGAAAAATACTTATTTTGGAGCATAAAGATAAGGGAGCTCTGGAAAAATTTCAGGAAGTGAGGAGATAATTCCAACCATTTTGAGGCTGGACAAGCCGGGTAAGGAAGGTTTGGTGGATCGGTTTTGTGAATGGTCCGACTTTCACAGGAGCTCCAGCAGGAAACTTTCCCAACCCAGGATGTAAATCCTGGCTAATCTTTATAGCCTGGTGGCAGAATGCAGAGCACCAGGGCTCCACGCCACAGCCAGAGTGGTTATGAGCAGCTGTGGACAGATTCTGCTGCTTCCTCCCTGTCCTTTATTCCTTATTTTTAAACTCCTGGGGCCGTACAGGAGCCTCGAGTCTCCGGCTGTGAAGGGCCCGTGTGACTGCTCTGGACTTTGAACTCAGATAAACTCCTTACTGAATGAAGTCATCTGGAAAATGCTTCCAGCGGAGATTATTTTGCACCAGGCTGTGCTAAGAAATGCAACAGAGTTTCCAAAAGTTTCAGAGGCAAAACAAAGGACCCGTCCTTGTCCTGAGGGCAGCATATTGAGGGAAGCTCCAGAACACACAGGACACGTGGACCAGGCTGTGGAGACACATCATGGTTTAGCTTGGGGAATAAAATCATCCTGATTCCATGTAATCATGCACCAGCTTTTTCCCAATCGATGCACACAACCTCACTTCCAAAAGATGTCTTCAGAAATCCCAATATCCCACGTTCAAATCAGTAAGATCAGGCCCAGACTGGACACGTTGGGCTGGATCAGAATTTCTGTGTGCTTTTTAGCCTGGTTTTAGCTAATATTTGGATTAAAAAAAAA